GAATTCTTAGTTAAAAGAACTTGTAGCTGCTATCAATAATACCATTGGCTGCCAGCATTCTCTGGAGCCATATCAACTGCGAGAAATGTGATTTACATAAATTGAACATATCAGCACCCTCAATGTCAGTCTTAATCTGATGTATTTTGCTGTTAGGACAGTCTGTTTCTTCTTTCAGTCATCTTTACTTAGTTCCTTGAACCATTTAAAAATTTCGTTGTGTACTTTCTAGGTGTTAGAAGCTTCGCTGCAACGTGTAAGCAAAGGAACTGCATGACCAGATTTTCTATGTGTAGGCAAGGTTGGGAGAATGAGGGTCAGTAATCCAGCCAAGAGGTGACAATGGTAGCCTGAAGTCAGGGGGAGGTCAGGTGGTAGCTTGTGTTGGAGCATCTGAAGAATATAATATTTAGAAACTAATATTAATAGGATTTATGAGACAAAGAGAAGAGACGAGTGATACTCAGGTTTGCCTTTAAAAAGTCAAAGTCTTTTTTTTAGTTCACAGCCAGTATTAACAGAAAAATTTATAACTGTGACTACGTAACTCTAGAAATGAAAACAGGGTCTAATTTTGATTTGATCTTATTATACATTCAGTTGTAGATAATCAAAAGATGATTTCATGGGAAAGGGACTCATTTTATGTATGTAAGCGGCATATGCAAGGTCCAGAAAATCTCTTTCATGATATTACTCTAATCTGGGAATGATTTACTGCATTTTCATAATAGTTGCACTAAAATGCAAAGCGATGGTCAGTGGCATTAATATTTTAATACAGTTTTGTTCTGTGCCATTAAAACATCAACTGATCAATGGCCAGGTTTCATATATATATTCCCACTAAATCAGCCCTACATTTAGTGACAGATACTCTGTTACAACTGGTGAGTCAATGAGTCTTTAATAAAGGTTTTTATCTTTGGCTGATAGAATCATTTTGCCGTCATTACCATTTAGTAATCTGGCTATGTTTTTACTAAAAATATGCATAAAAAATTTTTGCCAATAAGCCCTCTCAGCTTTGATACTGCATAGTTTACGAGCTTCAGTGGCATAAAAGCAACACAAAGGGGAAAATGGGTCACTTTCTCTGAGGTAACGGAACAGTCCTTATTGCGAGAGGCATATTTGAGCCAAGCTTGAAGGATGAGAGAGCCCCTAGTAAGTTGAGTATGGAGGAAAGGGCACTGACTGGCTTTGGCAGTGATAGTCAGTCACAAGTTGGCATGGCGTGCATTGTTTCAGAGGTGTAGCAATGTATCTAATTTTAGCAGTCTGGGATTTACGGGGAGACGTTGAGACTAGAAAGGCAAACAGAGAATCAGTTGGGGAAAGCCTCGTCTGCCTTTATTCAAAGGTAGTGGGACACCATCAAAGGTCTTCATGCAGACAAATGACGTGGTCAGTTGGGAGTTTTAGGAAGATCTTTCTCAAGGCAGTTTAGAAGATGAAAGGGTATACCAAAGGCAGCAGGGAGGCCAGTTAGAAAGTCATTGCATAGTCTAGGTAATGGTTCCAGGCAGTTACAGGATGCCGAGGGAGGCTTTAAGAGTCTATTTATTGGGATTAAATGAAATAGCTAGTCTCTTGTTGCCCATTCACTGCTTGGCATGATCACTTGTGAGTTTTGACCCTTGTAATAAAGTTTTGGGTTAGCCAAGCACATTTCTCGGGTGTAACAAGGCCCTGGAGTCAGTGGATTCACACTGGGTATACTGTATTGACCCCAATAACTGTTGCCAGTTGACCTGATCTGATAGTAGGGGTCAATGACCAAGAGCCATTGGGCTGTAGTTAGAATTAGTGCCCTTGAGTTAAGCCAAGAGGAAACATAGGGATTGGCTCATTTACCACCTCACCTCATATAAGGAAACTGGGACCCAGAGAGCCTGATAATATGAGATGAATGTATATACCACCCCAGACTTACTAATATGCTATTTCAAAAAGTGTACTTAGAAATTAGTTATTTGGGGACTTTGGAACATAGTGTTCTTTAGAAACCAGAGGAACTTGCTTGGTGTGATGACCCTTTGCCTCTCAGAGGCAGACCTGGCTTCAAATTATAAAGCAAGAGAAACATTCAGAAAATTAAAAAGTGACTGTAGTCTTTGCTAGAGGAGCCTGTTTGCCACAGAACATTACCTAGCATTGGCTTGAGTACTTTAGGTTTGATGGTGCTACTGCAGCTCCTTAAGAAGCTAACTTCTCCTGTGTAGCAGCTGCCTTCTTGAAGTATGATAAGCATCTATGTTAACAAAAAGAACACCAGGCTCGAATCAGATCTGGGTGCACATGCCAGTGTTCCCTGAATCCAAAACTTTTGCTGGTTTTCACTGTTCCATGATGCCTTGCCAGGTGCACACAATAGATACTCAATAACATCATTGTCATTTCCTAAGGGCAGGTGCCCTTGTTTCTGTGTACGGAGCAGCATGTTATAATTTCCTAACATGAAGAATCTATAGAGCTCTAGCCAGATTAGGCTGTGAATTCTATCTCCCTGGTGATGGCCATTTTGGATTTGACAGACTTGACTGGCCAACCCAGGTCTCCCCCGACCCCTCCCTCACCCCTACAGTTTTAGTGAGCCCTTTCTGGAGCTTCATTTTCTTTCAAAGAGGATAACCTTTTCTGTCCTACCCTGATTTCAGACAAGTAAGATCATGGTTTGTAAACAGGAGTTCCATTCTTTTAAGTATAAGAAAAATCACATGGACTTTTTTTGCTCTAGGGGGTTTTTTGTCATCTCCTTCAGTATCTACTTCCCTTCCTAAAATATTCCATTCTTCCTCTGTCATACATACCTGCATAATTACCTTACACATTTAAAGGCAAATAATGAAGTAATTTATGCAGTAAAATATAAGCTGATATGTTTCACAAAAAAACAATTGGGTGGGGGGAATTAGGAATGCCAGGGTAGGGTAGAAATCAGATTGTTACTGTAAATAGGGTGGTCAGGTCAGACCTCAGTGAAAAAATGAGATTTGACTAAAACTGAAAGGAGATGAAGGAGGTTGCCATAATAGACCTGGGGGAAGAGCAGAGGGAACAGCCAGTGCGTAGGTCTTAAGGTGGGAGTGTGTGTGGAGCCAGCAAGGAGACCAGACTGGCCAGAGCAGCGAGGCCGAAGAGAGGGTGGAAAATGAGAGGGAGCAGGGTTGGATTATGTGAAGCCACTGCTTCTCTAACTGCCTGTGATGAAGGGCCAGTTTATTTTGTTTTCCCTAATCTATTGCAGACCAAAATCTTTATAAAAATTTAATGAAAATTAATCAAAAAAATAAGATTTAAAGAACATAAAAGTCCAGTGTTTTATTATTAGGGTCACATAAATGGTTCTTAAATGTTGATGTTGCGTTTCTTTTTTCTTTTTTTTTGAGTCGGAGTCTCACTCTGTCACCCAGACTGGAGTGCAATGGCTGCTTCCGGCCACCACAGCCTCGACCCGCTGGGCTCCGGCGATCCTCCCACCTCAGCCTTCCAAGTAGCTGGAACTACAGGTGCACCCTACCACACCTGGCTAATTTTTTGATTTATTGTAGAGATGAGGTCTTGCCAATTTGCCCAGGTGGGTCTCGAACCCGTGGGTTCAGGCAATCCACTCACCTCAACCTCCCAAAGCTTAGGATTACAGGCTGAGCCACCAAGCCCAGCTGACTTTGCATTCCTTTACTCATTTTATTGCGGACTAGTAAACCACACTGTGGACTAGCACAGTCCGGGTGTCACATTTTGAATTGCACTGAGGAAGTCCCTTGTAAGAACTTGGCCTTTACAAAAGAGGGAGCTGTTGCGGTGTTTTGAATGGAAGAAAGACCTGATCTGACTTATATTTTAAGTGAATCACTTTGTCTAGAGGATGGAGTGCAATGGGCCTAGGGAAAGAAGTGGGGAGACCATTGTGATTGCGTTTTACAGGTAAGAGATGATGGTGGTTCATACCAGAATGGTAGCATTGGAAAAGATAAAAAGTGGTCAGTTCTGCGTATGTTTTAAAGGTAGAGCCTATACAGTTTCCTTGATGGATAGGATGACAGATGTAAAGAAGAGTACCGTCAAGGACGACCCTGAGGTTTCTGCTCGGATAACATGAAAGATGAGTTACTGTCAACTGAGACTGGGAAGGCTCCAACTGCGATGGATCAGGCTGGGTGGGGCATCAAGAGGTCTGTTTTAGGTATTTTGCGTTAGACTTTCAGTGCATAGGAGAGCTAGTCAAGAGCAAAATGTTTCAACATGTTGATGCTGCCTAAAGACGTATGACTTAAAGCGGACTCTTAGGGCTGGTGGGTAATCTGGGGAACCCTTTAAGTGTATCCTCTTAGTTACAGTCTTTCACCATCTAAGGCAAGAAATATTACTTTGTTTGAAAGGGACTAAGGAAATCAGTTTAAGTGCCTCCATCAGTTATTGCACTCTAATGCTCAACTCTTTCCTATGTGGAAATTGTTCTACATTTTTCACCTAGTTACAAGTAAGAGAATTGTCTCCTAATTTCAAAGATACCAATTTTGGATCATCCTAAATTCCAAGAGGCAGCTATAGAATTGGTTGGAATTTAAGAGCAATCTGGCTGCATCATCTGCTACCCATTTGATTGCCAGGATTAATTTGGCTTCTCTGATTGCTAATGATTATATAATTTATTACCAAGCCTTAGTAATACTGAACATGGAAGAACTCTTGATGTTTTACTATATAGTGTAAAAAAGGTAAGGTTCAAAAGTGGATAGAGGTCATGAGCTTCAATTCTTTAAATACGTGGCACACCTGTGCTCACCACAGAACAAAGACCAAAAGGAAATACGTTAACATTTTTACATGGGCTTATGTGACTAGAGACACTATAAGTGGCACCTTCTCTATTATAGGGTTTGGTGTATAATAAAAGCAAGTTTTACTCTAGTAACTAGCAGTAATAATAGCCATTAGTTAAAGAAATGAGGGCAAGAACTGTGTGAACTCTTCCCTCCCTCTGGCCTCCACAGCTCACCATCTGCTACCTGGATATGCTGATGACCAGTGAGGAGCGCCGGAAGCAGCTGAGGGACCAATACTGCTTTGAGTGTGACTGTATCCGATGCCAAACCCAGGACAAGGTATGACTAGATTGGAGTACCTCCAAGGCAATATCTCAATGGTCTTTCAGAGAACTCTGCTTTTATTTCCTCAACCCAAAAGTAAGTGACCCTCAGTGCATGGTAGGAAACACATAAAATAATGCATTGGGCTGTATATATTTTATTTCCTGGAATTTTTGTTACTTACCAAGCTGACATTTTGAGTGTGACTATATTCAATGCCAAACCCAAGACAGGATACGACTAGATTGGAACACCTCCAAGGCAATATCTCAATGATCTTTCAGAGAACCCTGCTTTTATTTCATCAACCCAAAAGTAAGTGACCCTCAGTGCATTGTAGGAAACACATTAAAATAATGCATTGGGCTGCATATATTTTATTTCTTCTCATTTTTGTTACTTACCAAGCTGAGTTTTAACCAAAGGTAAGGATCTATGGAGCTTATGGTCTAGTGGGAATATAGGCACTAAAAACATAATTAAAAGCATGTTGAAGGCCAGAGTGGTATTAGAGCATATCGTAAGAGGATTGAGTTACATTATGATTGATAACAGCTATTGCTCAGTAATAAACATATCAAGGTGTACCTAGTTCATTTCCCAAGAATAAAAAATAAAATCAGACTTATTGAAGTACAATTCACATGTAAAAAAAAATCATCCTATTTAGTGAAACAGTTCTGTGATTTTAGCAAATATGTGCAGTCATGAAACTGCCATCAAAAATGAAATTTGGAGCTCTCTTTTATCCCTTTATAGTCAACTCTACCACCCCAATCTTGACCCCGATAGCCACTGGTATGTTTTTTAATCTGTCTGGTTTTTTGTGTGTTTTTTGTGTTGTTTTTTTTTCTGTGTTGCCGTAGCCTGAGCCATGGGGGTGGGGGAAGGGTGAATGGAACCCAGTGTGGGTTCCCTCTGAAACAGACCTATCATGTGGACTCTAGGCATCTCCTATTCTAGGCTCACGGCCTGTGAGGATTGAGTAGTTCTCCTGTGGCTAGGATGGCAGCCATTCGTGGTGGCAGTGGCACTGGGGATCTCTCACTTACCTTTTTCCCACAATGGAGAGTCTCTGAGCCAATCCAGGCTGAGCCCCCATGGCTTATCTTCCCTCTTATTCCATCGCTTTGCTAAATTCTAGTGTTCTCTCTCAGATGTTTTATTCAATGTGTGTGGTTATCTACTTGTTTTGGTCCTTTTTTTGTGGAGGAGACAAGTGAGTGCTGGGTGCCTTTTATTAGACATTTTTGATGACATCTCTGTTTCTTTAGAATTTGCCTCATAAGTCTTTCTACTGCAATACATTATTAGATGGAAATCACTTATCTAACAACTTTTACTCTTAGAGAAAGGAAGAAGAGCCAAGATAAATGCCATAAAGATAACAAATGAACTTCTCTTATTCTACTTTTTTTCATATTGGATATATTTACTTTTAGTTTGTACACTATCAGGTTGTCTGAAGAAATCTTACTTTTGTAGAGTGTTTATATTGCTACAATTTTTTAATAATCATTATTTCTCTTGATCTTAATAATTACAAATAAATTAGGTAGTGGAACTCAGAAAGGTTCAGAGCTATTCCGCTGGGATAAGATGAAGGAAACAGTGGCAGAACCAAGTCATACACCCAGATCGCTTGACTAAATTTAGTGCTCTTTTCACTATACTGCAATTCACTGTGCCTTATGGTGCCAGCATCAATAGAGAGAGACGTTATCACTGCATGAGAAAGGACCATGTACTCAATCTTATGCTGCAGGAGTCAGTGACATGGTTAATTTTGATTAAAAATAACTTTTAGAAATAAGTGAATTGAATGGGAAAAGTTGGATCCACTGCTAACACCTCCCAACCATTCAGTTCACTTCAGTGTTAGCCTTTTGCCACTAGCAAGCATGACACAAATCATAAAGGATCCCCTGGGATTCCTCCCCGGGTTGTAATCTGAACTGGTGGCAAGCTTAGCTTCCTGCCAGCATCCTTAGGTTGGGTCCAGCAAGCTCTTAGATTTTCTCTTAGGTGCTGTAACTATGGCGTACCTTCAAAAAACTATTAAATGAGTGAGTGACTATGTTTTATTAAAATTGAGGCCATACTCATTTTTTTTTGTAACAGTTGAAATCTGGGCTACACTAGTATATTAGGAAAGGATCTGGCTAAAAATAACCAATAACCTAACTAAAACTATTTTGAGGAGGTGGAATGTATTTGTATTAAGAATTCTGAAGAAGTAATCTGAGATGAGAGAAGCTATTCATAGATGTCATCATGAACATGAAATCTTCCTTCTCCATCATTTGTTGCATGTGACTTTTGAGTTCAAGATGACTGCTGCTTCCCCACCTAGTCAGTGTGTCCAAACTCTAGACAGGAAAAAGAAGGGGCGATACAAGGCAAAGAGCAAAGGAAAGATCTCCTAGGAATGTCTGCTTACACTTTCTTGTTCAGAATGGTGTTATTTGGCCCACTCTTAGCTATAAAAGAGACTGGAAACTTGTATTTTAGCTTTTCAGCCTTTATACAAGAGGAAGACAAGAAATGAGAGTATAAAAGTAAATAACTTTTGGGTAGCTAATCCATGATGTATGGCATCGAGACCATTATCTTTACTGTTTTTAGCTAAAAGTTTACTATTGTTTTAGAGTTTGCCAGAGAAACAGACCCAACAGGACTGTGTGTATGTATGTGTGTATGTATGAGGGGGTTCATTATAAGGCTTTGGCTCATGTGATTATGGAAGTTAAGAGGTCCCAAGATCTGCAGTTGCAAGATGTAGACCTAGGAAAGCCAATGATGTAGGTCCAGGCTAAGTCTGAAGGCCTGAGAACCAGGGGAACCAATGGTGTAGGTTCCATTCCAAAAGCTGGCAGGCTCAAGATCCAAAAAGAGCTGATCAATGTCCTGACTTGAGCCAGTAAGTCAGGAGGAATTCCCTTTTAATTTGAGGAAGTGTCAGCCTTTTTATTCTATTCAGACCTTCAACTGATTGGATGAGGGCCACCCACATCAGGAAGAGCAATCTTCTTTACTCAGTCTGTGGATTCAAATGCTACTCTTATCCAGAAATACCATTACAGACACACTCAGAATAATATTTGATCAAATATCTGGGCACCTTGTGGCCCAGTCATGACATATTATATTGGCCATCATAAATATTGAAGTAGACCAAATGGTATAATCAAAAAAAGTACTTGATTGCTGAATTCTAGTCCATTCATTATCTAACAAACTGAGTGGTCTTGGGCAAATCATTCAACCTCTCTGGATTTGTTCCATCATCGGTAATATAAAAAAATTAGACAAGATAGCTTTAAGGGTCCTTCCAGCTCAATTATCCCATATTTCTATGAAATGTTTCTTAGTGGAAGGGAAAAGTAGGGTATATGCTTAGATGAGAATATAAATTTAGTTTGCAATTATTTCATTGGTCATATTTTTAAATTTTCATTTACTTGAGAATTTTCTTCTGTTTAGTGACATAAACATTCCTTCTAAAATCTCTATACCATTGATTTGCTTAGAAAAAACAATACAGAGGTATATTCAGCTTAATGTATTCCCAAAAGATCATAATTTAAAATACTTAAGTCAAAATTAATTTCACTTCAGTTCTTGGACCTAAAGTTTTCAAACTTATTTTTCTGCTTTTCTTGGAACCTAGAAAATTCATCTGACCAGGTTTCTGCATCAAGCATTATTTATTACGTGCCTATATCTGCATATTACTGGACCTGTGTGGTATTATGTTTCAGGAAGGCAGGAACTCTTTTAATAGCAGGCATAATTTGCATGTGTAGAGTTGTCATCTGTAATCAGAGCAGCTTAATTTCTGGAAGAAATAAAACTTACCTTCTAAGGGAGGTTTTGGAATGATTTGGGTTCTCTTACTGCTTGCCGAGGTCAGAATCCAAGGCAATAGAAGCAGAACAGACCAAATGGAACTGATTGTTTCCATAAGCTTGTGAATAGTACACAGCACGCTTTCTTGGACATCACACGCTTTGTTGCAATATGTGCATGTATATATTTACTTGTCATGTCACTTTTTTCCCCCAAGCCCTATTATATGAATGGGGGACCCCCCAAAAACTGGAATTATCTTTTTAGAGGGTGAGTCCTTTGTAATACAGGCTTCCCCCACTAGGTAAGTGTTCTAGGAACCCGTCAGCATCAGTGTATCAGCTGGTGTTGTGAGAGGCTACATTCAGCTTCAGTGAATTTTGTTTTGGACATTCTTTCAACGTGTTTACCTATTATGATGGGTGATTTACTAGTGTACCTGCTCATACTGCACTGACTGTTTAGCAGTTTTTGACCAGAAAAAGCATGATCACTATGTCCCACCTTCCCTATTCACCAGACGTCACCCTGAGTATCATCCTTTTGTTTCCCTAAATGAAAAAAGTCCTCAAAAGGAAACGTTTTGCTGATGTGAAGGAGGTGAAACAAAAATGGCAGAAGCACTAAAAGCCATCAGAATCGATGAGTTCAAAAACTGTTTTGAACAGTGGAAAAAGCTTTTCTATAGATGTATTGCATCAAATGGAGAGAACTTTGAAGATGATTGAAGTTTAAACATATAAGAATATACAATTTTTTTTTGAAAGCAGGATTTATTGAGAGAGCAGCAAAGCTCCCACAGTGGGAGGGGGCCCGAAGGGGTTACCCCACGATTTTTAATAAATAAATTTGAGATTTTTTTTTTTTTTTAGTTCTCCCTGTATTTAATTCTTCTTTTTAAACACCATGTCTATCAATCTAACTCAAAGCCCTATTGCTTTGATTCAGAGTATTGAAATAGACCCTAATTATCTAACTGGTCCTCAATTTCTTTCATGTCTTCCATCCCGTGCACTGTTTTAGAGTAAACTTTCTTAAATACCATGATTTCCTTTTTGTTACTTTGCTCAGAAAATTTCAGGCGTTAGTGTTCAGGATAAACTTCACACTCTTAGGTTGGCATTCAATGTCCTCCAGAGTCATGACCCTAACATCCAACCTACCTT